TATTCGGAAAACTAATTTTAATGCAACTAATGAAATCTTTATTTCAATTGCAGTTGCAGCCCCTCAACTTGAGAGCAAAACTTGGGATACATTCTCAGCATAGTTCTAGCAATTGGCTGCATGATGATGATGATGAGGATGTGGGCTATGCCAGTGCACTAATTTTCTGAATTTTCTTTTGCCATGCCACCAACAAGAGCAACAACAGCAGAAGACTACGTGAAAGTCAACAGTCGACAACATGGCTGAAGAAAATTTCTTTATGATGGCGTTGTTGATGATGATTTAAAGGGAGTACAACGATTTCATGCTCCAAAAGCCTCCACAATTTCAAAGTCCACACATACACAAACACACATGAATATATTCATATTAACTAAGAGTATACCATATGTCTTCATATATTTATGTTAGTGTCGAGCACAACTTTTTCCATAGCTTCTGCAGAGCCCCCACACTCAATAATATTCATGCCATTAACTGGGACAAGACAGCAGAGTCAGAGAACTTCTCTCCATCTATGGCATTGTTGTTGCCTTTATTCGCTACACTCTCCAAATGTACTGAGTGAATCTAATGACGTTTTCAAATGCCAAACAACGTGGGCTGCACTTTTGGTTTTGTTACTCTGGCTGCTGCTGCGGGTTGCTGCGGCGACTTTTATGGCGGCATCTGGCAGCAGCTGAACGCTAAATTGTTTTTGATTGTCTTGAAATATGTAGTTGCGCGCACACAAAAATGTCATTCTCCAATTAACTGTTTATTTGTCTATTTCAATAAATCAGGCAACAATTTCCATATGTACACATCTATAGGTATATATCAACAAATTTAGATATATAGAGCTGCCCAGCAGATCACACAGTGAATATGTATGTGTTACAGGTGCCTTCTCTTACCTCACAGGTATAACAAGATATTGACATTTAACATTTGGCAACTGCCAATCAGAAATTGAAGAAATCATGAAGAATTTCACTTGCATTCCATTCCATTTCATTCCACTTATCTACACTCAAAACTCTCTCTCTCTCTCTCTCTCTCTGTATATATATTTGGCATTATTAATAATGGTATTATTAATAAACTATGACAATTATTTGAGCATCCGCAACAATTCACACAATTCATTTAAATAATTGAAGGCTGCATGCAGCCTTTGCGATATACATTGCAGAGACAGATGCTCATACAGAATTTACAGGCAGCTCCTCTCAATTAATGGACTCTCATTCGCAACTGGGCGTGGCACTCGAAAATAAAAACAAAACAAACAAACAATTCAGCTGCGCAGATAGACTGGGAGTGGCAAAAGCTGAAGCGAGCCTTAAAAATATTGAAAAAATGCAACAAGAAGCGACAGGGCGAATTTAATACGACTTTGGAGTTATAACAGACAGTATATATAATATATTATATTATTCATATAGATAGTTCATTATGTCATATACATTATAAAAACTCTAGCCGATACTAATGAAATACATATGTTGTGCATATAATTTGAACTATATTTTAGTAGAATGAATTATATATATATATACCATATAGACTCGTGTGTTACTAATCAAATATGTCTGTAGCTAATTTTAGCACTTTGGCAATATTGTAATATATTGTAGTACATATGCGAGTATATATATTCTTTACTTATTTATTTTTTAAAATTTAATTTAATCGATCCTTGGCAGATAAATTCATGAATTCAAATTTATTTTTATTTATTTAAAATAGAAACACAATCAAATTTTTTTCAAAACTATAGCCGATTCTTTGCAGATCAAAACAGTTCATGGTCGGTGTCGTAACAGCGACAACTCCCTCCCCATGTGCTCAATCTTCAGCATTTTGCTTTGAAAAAAATGTAAATCGGACTTCAAACACAAGACTTAAATTTGTGAAATATTCAGCAGGGGCAGGCACAACAACACTTTCTCGTTGCGATTGTGAGCTTTAAAGCAAGCTGGTAGCTGTTACACTTTAACGCAAATGTTTGCTATGTAAATTTTCCAAACAAATAAATAAATAAATACAATTTACACAATTCCAATCGTGAATGTGACTCTGCGAGTGTGTGTGTGTGTGTTTATCCAAGCAGCGGATATGAAATCACCAAATCAAAACTGTTTAAGCTCCACAGTTGGCGCTCATACTGAGTCAAGTCTAATGCAATCGAGCAGGAGTCGGCTAGCCAGTGGACAGCATCCGCAATTTTCTATCGATTGGCTTTCGCCGCCACTTGCAAAGAAAATGGAAAACTATGAAATTCATTTTATGCGCTGCTGAGTGGAATTCCGTTGAAAGTTCAGAAGCAGCATCGAAATCAAGTTTCGTTATCGCATTGCCAATACTTAGAAACAGGTGAAAATTGCTCTCAAAGTCTTGGCATTGAGTTCGAGTACGCAATATCCAATATCTAGCAGCTCTAAAGAGTACAGATTACATGTATATCTATAGTATACACATATATTTATTTACTTATCTAAGTCTGTTTGTAATACAATGCTCATCCTTCTAGAATCTTGAATCTGGCGCCTTACATCCCGTCAATTGCGGTAAATAAACCGCAAGCAAGTAAAGCAAACAGATATCTTTCAGTGATAAAAAGATACTTCTACGTTGTTAAAAAATAATCACTGCGAACTTTTTACGTAACACGTAACGTCGCTATATAATATGAAGGTCAACTAGTGAGGCCGCAGAGAACTGGTAGAACACGTAGAAATCAGGTTGAATAACTTTGTGATTGTAAGACGCATCGAGGAGCGCAAAACCGGGACAAGAACCTACAAGACCAAATAGTTCAAGGCTTTCCTCTGTCATCGTGGAAAATACTTATATATATACAATATATTGAGAGTGCAAATTTCTGCCCAAGATGTTATTGGATGAGTGCCAGCTATAATTATTTCTTTGATTCTAATTGGGTCTGCCTTAAGCGAAAGTCAAATAGACTTTCAACAAACCATATTTTAGTGTTAATTAGTGGATGCTTAAACTAATAATATTTCCATTTCACTTAATAATATAGCACCGCTATACTGTTTACTTGCTTTATGTAACATTACTTTATAAATACGTGAATCCAAAGGGCAACTAGAAATGTAATTCGCCAAATGAAAGTTAGTCCAGATATATGGGTTAATACCCCAGAAATGAAAAACAAAATTTAATGACGTAGAGATAAGGTCTCAGCGGTTGGTAAAATGCTCACATGTATTTGATGCATGCGCTGTGTGAAAAGCGTGACTATGCATTAAATACCATCTGAATGGTATTTTATTTTATTGGGCATTTAAAAATAAATGCTGGCGCATTTCTATAATTTATGAAATGCTAGATATATTACGCAGAGCCCAGCTAGCCAACTATGTATTTATGTATATTTTCCACTCTAGGCAAATTTATGCGAATGATCTCTCTGCTATTTGATCAAGTGCTCAGCATGTAGCCAAAGGCAAATATTTATTTGATTATTATGACAAGAGCTTTGAAAGGATACAATTTTATGTTGTATGCTTTATCTTTTATCGTAAGAGAAGTCGTCATTGTCTTTGTATATGTATTTATAAACACAAAACTTGTATTAAATAAATATTTAACATTTCTATATCTTTGTTGGCATAAACTTAATGCAACTGGCTAAAGCTTTTAGCTCTTACCTATTTGTTTTCCTCGAAACGATTAACATATTTCCGCTAATTCCTTATCAAATTGTGTAAGTGTGCATAACAATGCGAATCAGACTTATCTCAAATACGGAAGATATGGCTAACAAGAAGTAATACCATTTCAGAGTAGAATAAAAAGAATAAAAGCAAGGTCTCAATTTGCACAAATTGAACAAATTAAAATACCAATGTAGTCTATATATATCTGTATATATACTCTTAAGTTCACATAAGTACTATTCAGGAATGTGGCATGTGTATATATGCATATGTTTTATATTAAATATATTCAATGGGTGCTCGCGATGGCGTCACAGCCACAATAATAATAGTAAAATTATTTCCATATATAAAACGGAATTACTGTACGCCTCAAACATAACTACATATAAATTTATATATATCTATATATATATACTTATTTATTTGTGTGTGCATTTTGTAAGCCGGATGGAAATTTCAGTATTACAAAGCCCTTGCCGCATCGGCGGGGCAGCTGGCAATGCTTCATTCAACTCAACTCAGCTCAGCTCAGTCGACAGCTATGCAACAGGAAACAAACTTGACAGAATTTATCATTTACTTTTTTATATAGCAAGTCTCCAATGGGGGCTGCTTCTGATATGCTTGCATTATGAATTATATATAAACGCATATGTATATACATATATATACATAGACAGATAGTCAAGAGTGTGCGGTGTCGGCAATTGAAAATGATTTGCGTCTTAGTGTGGACTTTGCTCGAATAGAGCAGCTGACGAAAATGGAATGGAATGGAATTGAATAAAATATAATATAATTTCTTATCAGCCGCTGAGAGACGAATGAGCAAATGTCACAGACTCGTTTCATCAATTTACTAAGCGCATATATTTATTTATAACAAAAAAGTGATGATGATTTGCATACACACATATACACATACATATATAACCTAGACAGAGGGAGAGAGCGCGTCGAGTTCTCAGTTCAAAAGTGAGTCAAAATATATATATTTATAGCGTATTATGCGAGGTATGCGAGCTCGACAATAATGACGGATGCTAACTCTCTCTCTACTCCCTCTCTCTACGTTCATTTACAGTGTTTTGTTTGTGCATGCAAAAGAATTCGGTGAGGAATTTTCATAATATGACCTGAACACAGCTGAAATCTGCAAATATTATAATTTCATGCGACATATTTCGATTTACATGCATAAAATATGCATACACATATACATATGCATATGTGTATAGGATATATGTGTATTTGGGTTGCAGTCACAGTTACCTTATGGAAATGCTTCAGAGCAAGGTTCTCAGCAGGCTTAGACAAACTGACTTAGCCCATATTCAAGTCATAAATCAGTTGATGTTAGACTACAGAACACAAAGATAATAGTAATATAGTTTCCTTTTGTTATCGGCTCAGGATTAAATTAAATTCAGTTTGTAGTGAGTTTCATTGGCAAGACAATGTACAAAGCTCCGTTGGCCCGTGATATTTTAGATAATCCACTTTTGGTAGCTCCGCTACCATATATCAACTTTCTACGTTACTTTAAGCGCAAGCATCCCAAATATGGAGTCCGCCGGCTGCTACAGGAGGCTCCCGCCCAATGGGATGCCATGACACAGGGGCAAAAGAATCTATTCCAGAAAAAGGTAAGCCACTCCACATGCTGTAATCAGAATAATCTATAGTCTTTGGTGATCTCTAGCGCATCCTGGCGAGGGTGGCACGCTCCCCACAAGTTCAACTCTGCCGCGTCCTGCATCGCCATCAATGCAGTTCCATCTCAAAACTAATGCGCATGTCATATGGATGCAAGCGTCGCTATCGAAGGAAAACTAAATAACTGCTAGCTTGTGCGCTTCGTCAAAAAGTAATTGAAAATGCGACTAGGTCGAAATTAGCAATGATAACAAACTTCGATTATTTATAAAAAAAAAAAAAAAAAAGAATAAACCATTTTTTAACATTAAAAAAAATATATTCAATTAATATGCATATGAGCGACTTTACAACTTCCTTTTAAATGCAACTACAATGCTTTTCCAGTTTTGCAACCTACCTGAACTTGAATTATTGTATAAAAGAAGCGTTTAATCAAGCGGAGCAGAATATAAAACAACATTAATCTGCAACTCCCCAGACAAAATATATATACATATATACATATATGCAAACACCTGACGATGACTTTCACTTTCGCATGCTCTATGCATCGCTTCTTCCATTTGTTGTCGCCGCAGTTGCAGCATGTGAAAGAGAAAGACCCAGAAAGAGAAGGCATTTCGTATTGTTGGATGTCACACAGATCACACAGATCTGCTGACGAATCACATCATCTACAATATATAGTTTGAATAACTTATTAGGGAGCTTGTTTAGATTTTCGAATATATTTAGAACTGATATTCCATCGGTTGAGCACAATATCGTTAAAAAAAAACTTAAACAAAGGAATAAAATAATTAAAATATCGCAATCGATTTAAATCTGTTTGAAAACTGGAAATTAACATTCTAGATACATATATTTTTTAGTGTGCAAACCCCTTGGGTTTTTTGTAATCATCTTGAAAATACATCAATTATAGTGATAAACAATGCCAAGAATTTTTATTTTGAAAAATAGTGAAATTTATATCTCTTGATTAAGACAATAAAAGTCTGCACTTTTCTGAAGAAATGCCCATATGCAAAGATTAGTTAATATATAAATCACACAGATTTAGACATTTTATAAGTATAGTTCTTTATATAAATAATATATATTATAACAGTCCTGCTAGATAAATATTGCTCTCAACTACGTAAATAGACTGATCTATTCATCGTGCAAACCACTTTTATAAATTTCAAAAATATTTCTTTTTGGAGTCAAATTTGTAAAGTCAAATGATGTGAAATTTTTGTTCGGTTCTGTTCTGGTCAAAACAATGGCTTGCGCTTGTTTGGTTATTGCCCGCACATGTGAGGCCCAGAAATTCTCTACATAGGAATTTGATCCCCAACCTCGTCGCTCATTTTATCGCCTCATAAACAATCTTTTCTCTGCCTGACTGACTACTACTTTGAGCACAATGGGAAAAAGCAACAACAACAAAAAAAAAAACAACAGCAATAAATGCATGAAATGCATTGGGTGCGTAATCAAGTAAAAATGCGGGAAGGGACAGCTCTCAGACATCCATTGCAGCAGAAGTACAAATGAAGCGAAGCATTCGGCTGGATGGCGCATAGCTGGGTCAAATCGAAATGTACACTTAAAAAAATAATTGTTATAGTTTAAATTTACAATTTTATTTTCTTATTTTCGAAATATAAAATTGAATTTGAAACTAGGTTTTTAGTTCCCAGACTTCCCTCATCTTTATTCTATTTAGTTTGCAACTTTTATATAAGCTTAAGGCAATAGCAAATAGTTTATTATTATATAATATATGGAGATTTTTCCATGCACAATTATCGACAAGCCATTTCCTGAAAACTTTAACTGTTTAATTATATGATGATTATATGATAATGACTTTTCGATTGTCTTGCATTTGTGGTAGCATTCAGCAACTAGACAGACTATAAAATTTATTTTATGAATGGCGTCCATTTCGGCCAATCTCATATCAATCATACAATTAACTATGTAGCAAGTTTGGCATATGTTGAAAAGTGTATTTAATAGTCGGCGGCCAGTGGGGCTTGCCTCTTCGCTCTATTGTTTTCTTCGAAATCAGAAATTTGAGTGGAGCCAATGAAGAGAATGGAATTCGTATTTAAACAGGTGGAGGCTCTGAGAGCGACAGGTTTCAGGCACTCTAATGTCGGAAATCATTAGTTGAAATTCCAAACTGGTTCGCTTGGGCTTTGCCATTGGCTTAGTGACGTTTTTTTATTTTTTTGGATTGAACAACAAACAAAATTTGCTCGCTTCACATACATATTTAGCTCACTGTCTGTGGCTCTTAGGCAACAATTTGTTTGAAGTGTTGGTCAATTTTGACTAAAGGGGAGACTAAGACGATTTCAGTGATTATGTCACTCACCCATTTCGTATTATTCATCTTAGCTTTTTACTGTTTTCAGAGAAATAAATCTGTTTTCGTTAAAGCTCCGCTACGTTACGCAATGGGAAATAAATATCGGCAAAGAAGAGAAAAACAAATAGAATGAAACGAGTTATAAAATTATATAAGAACAAGAAATCAAAGAATACTCAGCTAGAAGATACTCCGTACACTTGAGAATTCCAGAAGAATGCAAAGTTCAGTTGTTGATTTGATCAATGTTTACGAATAAATAATAAACGCAAAAGTTACCTAAGTTATGTTGCTCATCTAAAAGATACCCCGTAAAAAACGGCAGAATTTCAGTTTGATCAATGTTTACAAATAAATAATTAACGCTAAAGTTGCTCAATTTGTGTTGAACTTTCGAGAAAAAAGAAGGAAGAAAAAACGATCAATTAAGCCATGCTATTTGAGCAAAACGGAATGAATTTACAGTTGAAGCCTAAACAACGCTTGTCGAAGAGCAATCCGAAACGAATACAAAACAAAGAGAAACGAAGCCTCCACGACGACGACGCCAACGGCAAGCCGAGCTTTGGCTTATAACGCAATTGCTTATGTATGAGTGAACGAACGAGTGTGTGGTGAGACAACGGTAAAGTTTTGTATACAACATATGCATTTAATTTTGTTTTGCACCTCGTCGGTATTTTCGTACTCACAGTTTGTTATGCTGTTGCTGTTGTTGGTGTTTTGCTGTTGTGCTTGAAAGAGTTCAACGACATAGCCGCTCTCTGTGACTGCGTAAGGTCGTTGCTGAATTTTACATTACATATTAGCTTACGTTCGGCAAACAAAACAGAAACAAAAACAAAGTTTCACTTTCATAAAGCTTTTAAAACACAATACAATTAGAGGGCGAATAAGAAAGAGAGAGAGAGAGAGAGAGAGAGAGAGAGAGAGAGAGCAAGAGCGAGAGAGAAAAGCTCAGATAAATTGATAAATGAACGGTAATAACAGCTTGATGAATGCGATCGCAATAAGGGCGCAAGAAGAATGCTTGCAGCTGGGCGTTAGGTCGAGTGTACTCACTGCATATACAGCAGCCAATCTATACATACTTACAAACACATACATATATGCTGCATGTGTGTGTATCGATAAGCGGTCAATAGCCAACAATTAAACCAGGAAACGTGAAATTCGCCTTCATAGACAACAATTGCTTAAATGTCACATGTCAGTGAATGCGTGTGTATCTACCAGCACGTGGCAACATTATTGAGCAAGTACAGTGAAACACTTAAAAAAAAAAAATAAATAAATAAAAAAAAAAAAAAAAAAAAAAATAACAATTCCCTTAGCAAGCTTTCCTTTTGATTTCCATTTTTCCTCACTGCCTTGGCGAACAATGCGCCTTTGTTGTCTAGAAAAATTGAGCTCGATGCAAACAGCAGAAAAAATTTAGTAATGGAAAAACTTGAAGCAATCGACGAGATTTTTGTGTACTATACTTTTATTAGAGCTGTACATTTATAATAAAATATATTATACACATATTTATACAACATAAAATATTATTAATTGGTTTGTTTGTTTGTAATTGTAGTCATAAATATACGTGTCTTTTCATTTTTTTATTTATGTGCATATGATATATTAATATTATAAAATACCATATTTAAAATATTTTATTTTTTAGTACAAAGCCATTGAAAGGACTTCAGCAATGTCTCACAAAATGCAAATAAACTATGCACTTATACATCACACAATATATACATATGTATATAATCTATTTTCAGTAACAAAGGGTCGTCAAAAAACAAAAAAATTATGGACAAGGCGCAATATAAGAACTGCTAAGCAGACAGGAAGTAGGCTACGAGCCGGTATATAATCGATGTAATTATAGACAGCACCGATTTCAAGCGAATATGTTTAACATAATAATCCAATTTTCATTTTACAATCTGAGTAAATAATTCTTTACTGCGTTACTCGAAATAATTGACAGATTTAAAGAAACATCTGCGCATACAATAAAGTACAATATATTCTCGATCAACATCAGAAGTCGAGTCATTCGAGGCCGATAAAGATAAAGTTTATTTTAATTTACTGATAACCAAATCGATTTTAGAACGGCAAAAAACAGAGTTATTTATGGCTGGGGATTTCATAAAAGTTCAAAGCTAATTCTTTTAATTATCTGATATTACTAATCAACAATAAATGTGCAGAGTGTGTGGGAAAAATAAGTTAAGATATTTATTCACAGGGTATTTCATAGTCAGGCGCTCATAGTTATTATTCATCAACATATTTAACGACCGATTGGCAGCCAAGAGATATAAACGCGACAGCAAAATAACAAAAACTTGTGCGAAAGAAGAGCCAAAACAAGTGCTTGCAGGTATATATGCATGTGTGTGTGAATTTGTATATATGTGCAAGTGTATATGTATGCATGTCTATATATGTATTAATACAGTTGTGATTACCTTTAGATTTGCAACAGTTGCAAGCAACGAGTATTAATTCCTGGTTGTGCAGGGTAATCCAAAGTTAGTGCAATATTTCAACAGTTGTTTATGATTTTCCTCTCTTGCAGCTTTAGACGCTGTTGGCTGTTAAGTGTTACAATTTTTGTAACTTTTACACTTTCACTTGTCGAGTATTGTTATTAGAAATCACAAACAAACGGGGCGAAAATTTTTTCAATTTTGATGTTTCGCTCTCTTACACACGCAATCACAACACACACCCACAATGGCAATCGCAATCGCACAATTGCTGGGACAGTGTGCAATCCGAAAATACGAAACGAAAACAAGCTGCAAGTGAATTGTATGCGGTCACACTAAATATTTGCTTATTTAAAGTGTCAAATGCGTAGAAATACGGCTCACTGTTAAGTTGCTTACTGCTGTTTCTTTTGTTGTTGCAAAACAAACACACACATACGCAAACAGCGACTGCAAGAGCACAG